CCAGATGAGGCCTCTTATCTTTGGTTACTGTGATGTTTAGCATTTCCATCAACTCCAGATTTCCATTTTTTTTCTTTTAGATGTGACTCAGGAGTTATCTGTGGTGCAAACTGCTACTCTCATGCTCTTTGGCATGTGTAGTGCTACAGAAACTAACCATAGAGAACTCATGTCAAGTTTTCACGGAGATGTATACAAAATGAATGCTTTGAAATAAGTTTCGGAACTTGCAAATAATTTGGTGTTTGAAAATAGATAAATATAGGTCCAGATAGCGACTTTTTATTGCTTACGTTTGTGATCTTGAGGAAATGATTAACTTCTACTAACCTTAAATACACTCATTTGTAAACTGGATCTATAAGTCTACCTAGTTATGCTGCCTTGCTAATTTATGTGGACACAATCAGAGATAAGAGATAAGTGTATAGAAGTTGTTAGGAATTAAAACCGTACTATATTATTATTCTAATTATAATTGCCTTACAATGTTAGAATATAATTATCCCAGAAATATCCAAATGAAATGGCCAATAGACAATATCAACATTTAAAGACAAAATGCATTAAAAGTAAATAGGATGTTAATAATAATTATCTAATCCACTTTCTTCATTTGCTACACCAAGATCGTTGGGTTAACTAAGTAACCTTTACAAGGTCACCATCCAGAAAGTGGCAGAGTTTTGATGATTGAAGGAAGCTTCCCTTATGAATTAAAAATGTCATTATTGGCTCCAAACGTGTACAAGGCAACCTCTCAGTAAAGTCCTATTGAGTGAATTGCTATTGTCCTCTGTCCTTTTAGGTAACCAGATCTTTTCTCTACCTTCCCTTCTAATTATCACTGTATACACAGACCATATTTTAGTGAAGTTCTGGCTTATCAACTAGAAGACAATCACCAACTGAAGGTTTTAGAAACATTTCAAATGGTATCATGTTACTTTGTTTTGTAACAAATGGTCATTAAGAAATAAAGCAATTCAGTAAAGGGAAACTGGGATCCAGTAAAGAAAGCAAATGAAATTTGGCAGAAGAACAGAGGAAAAAAAAAAAAGAAGAAGAAAACTGCAATTTATAGGACAGTTGTTTATTAGAACAGAAGTAAAGCAAGGAGAGAGTAAGGTTTTCATATAAAAACTAATTTTCTCATAATATTGAACTCTTATGTGGAAACTGCTAGTCTAGTGTTTGGTATATATTTCTCAGTTGTGGAAATATCAATTTAGTTTTGAGATGGGGGACTACATGAAGAGAAAGAAAAAAGAGCTCATATATACTGTCAAAGATAAGCCAATTCAACAAAAGAAAAATCTTTAGGACTCTTCCAAATGAGCATTTCAGTGCTTCCTTTAATTCTGCCCATTGCAAACGGCACAAAAAGTTGCTGCTGAAGAAACGAGCCCGATTCTTTGTTTATTTATAATATTACCTATTGACTGAGTTTGTGCATAAGCTTCATATAACTCAAAGCATAGTGCATCTCCTTACTTAAAGAGCCATATGAATCTGATTGACATCCTCGTATATCTTAGATGAAATTCTACATGTTATAAATGAGCTAGAAGGAAGAGTTTTGGATCTCTCTCTCAAGGCTGTATTTGTGTGACCTTAATATGTAGCAACAAACTTAGATACTGTGTTTGGAAATCAGAGTGGTTTATTGCTAAAAATTAAAGCTCTTTATAATCACACAACATGATTATTGTTAAAAATAGTAAATAGTGACCTCATTTGTGTTCCATGCACTCCTGCTATCTTCTGAATGCACATGCTATCATTGTAATCATCTTTTAACAAGCTTAATATTTAAAGAATTTTCTCAGTAAAATATTTAGCTGCTGTTCTGTTTAGGAGTTAACACATACCTCAATTGCTCTTTTATGCTCAAGCCTGTGAGCACTAGAAGGTTAAATAACATAACAGGCATTTGAACCCTTAGATGTGGCATAACTAGAGCTAGAACTCCTCAGCTCCTCTAACTCCCAGTTTCACTTTAACCAACTGTCAAGTCATATCATTTCTTCTTGTGTGAAAGGAGTTAATGTTATGTGTAAAATGATTTTTTATTAAACATTGGCCTATTATATCTACATTTGAAGTTAACTAATTCCCTGAGGGTAAACCCAAAGGAAGAATTGTAGCTATTTAATATCTTGAAAATCTGAAATGAGGGAATTTCTGCAGTTTTTATTACTGGTAGGTAATTATGTTCCCTGCACAGTTTCATAACATCTGTGGTGAAGCTGGCCCTTCTAACCTGACTTTATTTTAATTTTGTTTAATTAGGAACTTATACAATCTATAATTGGGCAAGCATTCACATTTCCTTTGAGGTTAAAAGCCCAAGTTTTGGTCAGATTATGAGAAATGTAAATGCACGCACACACACACACACAAACACAAATGCACACCACACAACACTAACAACCACCACCAACATATTATTATAAAAGTAATAAGAACAATTAGAAGTTATGTATAACCGAACGAAGTCCACAAGTGTAACAATATACCATGAAAAATATTGGGTTAATAATCCATTTTCAAGGCTACTGTCACAAATGTCATGATATAGTACCTCAAAACATTGGAAGAATAATCTTGCAAAAAAAAATCTTCAAATAAACTTTTAAAAAGTGACTATTTGAAAAGAATTTGCTAATGTTCAATATATGTATACAAATATTAATTGATTATAGATAAAAAATAAATCCAACTCCTATATTTAACCAATAAAGAGTGTGGTCAGTAGAAATCTAAAGGAATTGTGGAATTTTAATGCATTTTTCTTAGAGCTTCTGCTTCATCAGTTCTGAAGACCCCAAAATATACCAAGTTCAGAGCTAAGTTTTTTCTGCTATTCTATTATTCACTCAATTAATACATTTTAGACAGCATAATGAACATTAACGATCATGCTTTAAGAACATTGACCCCAAAATATTTAGCAAGCAGCAAGCATTCAATTGAAATGTTGATTAGAAATGGGGAAATTAAACTGTCACTGATAAAACACTAAAGCTTATTATCACAAAATTCCATTCTAAATGTTCAGAATTAGCTTTATTACTGCATCGGTAATGATAAGCATGAGCCTTAAATCCATGTCATTTAGGTTTTATGAGCATTATTAAAACACATTAACCATAATTCAATTAATTTGCCAAAAAATGCTATTCTACAATATTTGTTTTACTGCCTCTTAAGAAAAGGTGTTGCATTAGGAAGTCCAAGCCATATGCCTATGGAATATATTCTCTCTATTTTACCCTTATTTCTCACCCCCACCTCCGTGGTTTTTCAAAGTATTCGCTCTCTTCAGATAGGTAAATGTGCTGAAGGGAAAACAGCTAGCTTGCTGCCACGCCTTTGTATCATTAGGACAATACTGACCTCTAGTGTTCGAGAAGGTGGAGAAACTAGCCCAGTACTGTTCCTAACTTCCTCTTCCTAACCACTTAGATCTTTTTCTAAAGCACCATGGGAACAATTTCACAGAAGAAAAAGAATGCGGTGGAAGAGAAGGAGACGAAGAAGTCAAAGAAAAAAAGTCAGATTCCAAGGGCTCTGAAATAATTTATATTTCTCTGAAATTATTCTCTGAAATAATTTATAAAGCAGGGCCCTTTGGATCCTCCGTTAGAGAGGATGAGCCCTTTAGCCTTCCTTTAGAATACAAACTTTAATGCAATCTGTATAAGCCATTACCACTAACTATAGAAACTGGTCCTCCAAAACTTCCAACCACAGATAGAAATACTGGCTCAGTTTTTAACTGTTTTCAATACACTACATTTGTCTAATTGTCTTCCCTTGAGACATAACTCTGGGGATACATGTATAGGGTTCTCTAGGACCTAAGTGGGTGGAGAGTGAGGTAGAAAGCCACTTAAGTGGTAAGTAATCTTCCCACCTTTCTCTAATCATGATAGTGCAAATTGCAAAAATAAAAAATAAAACTGTTCCAATATGGGTAATATTTCTGAGCGTCATGACAGGGATAAGGGATATGGGAGCAAGCCCAGAAACTTGAGAGACCTTGATAAACCATCTTTGGAAACAACACAGATGGCTTAATTGCATTGTTTCTCATTTAGGAGGTCCCAGAGCTGGAAAAACTTCCCTTCCTCTGCCTAGAGAGGCAGCTGAGCAATTGAGCTTGAACCTCTCATAGCTCCAGAGATTTATTCAAGTTTGACGGACTGGGTTCTTTAAATATATAGTGCAGGTGGTGGATCCCCGGGAGTCCAGCCTTCCTGACTATTAAATTAAATGTCCTGCACTTGCCGAGGTTAGAGCTTGGACGACAGACTGTACACTTAGTGCATACTCATTACTGTTCATAGGCACAAAGATTTTTGGGGTGGGGTGCGCACCAAAGCTCTTCCTCCTGTAATAGGGGCAGCCATTGATCTTGTGGTTGACTACATTGGTCCATGACTCTTAGGCCAGAACTCCCAATCCTGTTAAACCGGTGCCCATTGATTGCAAGATACCCCAACAGGAGCCTTCTGCCTAGGGCAGAACACAGAGCCACGTATAGTGGGGGACTCGGTATACTGCAAATCCGAGGTACTGCATACAGAGATGAACCACTGTCACCAAGCACGGTGGCTGGGAGCATCTCCATCCCTGGAAGCTCAGCTCCCAGTGCATGCTGTATGAACCCGGGGCCCTTCTCCGGAAAAAAGCCCTGGCTGTGATCAGGCAGGCATGGAACGCGGAGCTAGCAGGAGGTTAAGGGAAGAGAAACCTTTCCTTATCCTTTCAACTTTGCGATAACGGAAGAAGGGGGGAAATCCAGCAGGGCTGGCTCATTTGAGCTCTGATAACTTTTGGGATGGTTGGAGTGATGGAAACACACTGATCAGCATTTTTTTTCCTGTTTCCTTTGCCCAAAGCAGACCCAGTCGAGTACCCTTGGACAGTTGATTGTCTTTCTGAATGCGATCGTTTTCCACCTCACCTACCCGCCCCCAGCTCCTCGTACTCACAATTTGTCGCCGTTAATCCTAAATGCCACAGGCCGGAGAACAGCAAAGTCAAAACGCTGGTCAGCCTTGGTACAGAATCCATTTCCCCCGAGTGAGCGGTCCCTCCCAATCGAATTCCAAATTCGCAGGCGCCAGCCGCGGCTTCTTCTCGCTCGCTCTGTCTCCTCCGCACCGCCTGGCCCCCTCCCACCCCCCCTTGGAGAGGCACTTGCTCTTTCACTCCATCCCGTGCCCAGGCGCTCCACCGAAACAGTGGCGGGGGATTCTCCGGAGCTGCGGCTGGGGCTACGGTCCCCGCGAAGCCGCTAGCTGGACACGCCTTCCTCGCCCGCCTCTTCCTCCTCTTTCCCCTTCTTTAACGGTGCAAATCCAAACCTGATTAGAACGACAGGCGCGGGGGCTCGGTGGACAGCCAAATCCACCTCGCCGGGCTCGAGAGCCGGAATCAGCACCCGGGTGGCGGACAGCTCCTTATAGGCGCGCGTGGCCGCGCGGCACCGCCCCCAGCCAGGCCCGCCCCGCGCTCGCCTTTAAGAGCAGCCGGGGCGGGTCTTTGCCCCGCTCGTGCGCTCTTCCTCCCGGCTGCCGAGCCGCTGCGGTGCGCTTCGGATACTTGGCAGGGAAGGGGGAAGGAAATTCTTTCTCTCTACCCCACGGCTTTCCCTTCCCTTCCCCCCATGTGGGAAACGAGTAGAGGTATTGAAATTTATAGGAGATTTTCAAAGACCGATGCTGAAGGATGCTAATAGGAGTTGGAAGACAGACGCATTAGCAATAGGGGATTTCCCACGGAAAGCTTTGTGATGAGCTGACGAGATGCGTTCCACCACCCCACTTTCGGAGGGGAGGGGAAAACAGAGCTCGAATTACGCATTTAATTTCCCCTGCTCTTGTTCCCTAATGGGAAGAGCTGTTGGGTCTTTATAGGGTTGGGATTTCTGGTTTCGCGGTTTAACGTTGTGCGCGCTCCCCTGCTTGCAGACCCCGCAGCTACTCCCACCGCTCGTCCTCTTGCCAGTCTTCGCGTCTGCGCCTCCCTCCCGCTGTTGGCGCCTTGCTTCGGGCAAGTACTGCAAGGTGCTCCGGGGCTCTGGATTCGGAGCCCAGGTGGTTCACTGACGTCTCTGGGAGACGGAGAGAGGAGAGACACAGGGGTGTGGTAGCGGTGAGAGTCAGAGTGGAAGCCCGGGTTGGCTCATGGGAATTCAAAATCTGAGGGCTCTGCTGGTGGGATTTGAAGTGATTTTGGTTTCTCCCTTAGACGCCCGCTCATACAAATTTCGGTTCTGTTTTTGGCTTCTAGTATGTATCTGGAAACGCTCCTGCTTTATCATAAATCAACTTATTTTGTTTTTATTGGGAGCTGTCAGAAAGCTGTCAAACCTTAGCAAAACGAGCGACCATAGTGATTTCTGCTATGTATGAAGCTTGCAATGAAGTTAAGGATCATGAACTCTACCCACTTCAGAGGAATTTAATGTCTCCCTCTCTCCCTCCCCACCCTCCTCTTGCCCTCAACAGTAGCAATTATACAGCCTTATTTTACACTCTAGTCTCCTGACGATCCTGGCTGCACAACTATAGATTGGACTAGGTTTCAAGCAGGTTCTGCATGAATTCTGAGGCTAACGTTGGGTTTTTTGGTTAGAGATAGACTCGCATCAACTGGATTAGTGACACCATTATTTTGTTGGCGAAGAAAGAATTCTGAGAGTCCTATCACTTATCCATAAATGATCCTCTTTTCTCTAAGATTCTAACTAAAGATAATTATGTAAGTCACTAGATTCCTGGGCAAACTGAAAGACTTCCCCAGCCGGAGATTTACTTCGGCTGCATGGTAGGGTTCAGGGGAAGACAACACCCAGAAGACGGTGAATGTCAACATACTGCACCTGAGGTGACCTAAGGAGCTTCTCCATCGGCAGCTGAAAGGGATTTGAAGAGAGGAGAGGGCTGGAGTTCAAAGTCGAGCTGCTTGGGGTTCTTTTTTGCTTCTACCTAGGGTCCTCAGGAGCTGCCACTGAACCTCCAGCCTTTGAGAATCCCGTGCTGAAAAACATCTATCTGGCTATTAATCATACTAGGAAGTCTAGAGGAATATACTGAGCCATTACAGCTTAGTATGTGGTAATTGTATGTAAGAATTTAGACATTTTTAAAAGAAATAGAATATTACAGATATAACTTAAGCTCCTTTGCCATTCTTCTCTGATCTCATTCATCTGCCATCATACCTAGAAGTAAACAGTTTATTGATCTGGTGTATATCATTCCTATGCATAATGTTTTTGAACTTTTACCATACATATTTATCTCCCTGAACAATACATAGGAGTGCTTTGTCTTTAGCCATTTTATAAATGGTGTCATGTTCTTTCATTTTGCATCTTGCAGTTTACTTAATATGATAATTTTGAAGTGTGTGTATCTGGCTACGTAAAGTCTTAGTTATTTTATTATAACTACTGTATTGTATTTCATTTTATAAGTATGCCAAAATACATCAATTCTTTGATGTATGAATCTGTAGATTGTTTCCAGGATTGTTGATTTTTACCCTAAAAAAAACGCAATCTTGTATGTGTCTCTTGATTTTTCTTGCTCATATACTGAAGAGTAGAATTTCCAGACCATAAGAAATGTTTGTCTCCAGCTTTACTGGGTATTTCCAGTTTTCTTAAAATGATAGTACTAATTCATAAGTCTCCTCCCCCTGTGAGCAGTGTGTGAGATTTCCCCTAGTCCCACAACCCTAACGACACTTCAAGACCTTTTTCTTTAGAATAGGAATATTATAGTCAGACAACACATGTCTTTTGTCACTGAGCTTAATGTTTCACTACATAATTTCACCTTCTACACCTCACCTCCCAAAAATGTTTAGTTTAATATAATATTTAAAAAATTATAGAACATGTTGGTGTTGTCTTCTCTCAGAATGGCTTAAAATTAATTATCTGTGCCAGTAAAATGTGCCTAGGATAGATATTAACAGGCAATTAGGATTTTTTTTTTTTGTTACGAAGTCCCCGAACTGCAAATGGCATTCAAGTTATTAGTAAATATTGGAACTCTGCATTTAGATTTCCATATGCAGCATATAAATTTCACCTAATTTAAAGTCCTATTTAGAGTTGTAGCTTTTTTTTTCTTTCCCTGAAACACACCTGTTTTCAGAGCAAGTTGAACTTTAAATGGCAGACGTTTGTCTAATATTTGTTAACATTTTAGTAAGAATACTGCAGCTCTGAATGTAGTGAGGGGTAAACAGCTGTTCCTCTCAGTCAATAGTGTAAACAATGTCATCTTCTGGGGGCATTTTGCCAGCAAGTATTTATTAGCAGTAGAATATTAATCACTATAAAAACTGTTTTCAGCCAGATTGATATTTACCTATTGAAATTATTTTGTAAAGCTTTTAGTCTGATAAATCCTCTTTCCAAATGGTGAGGTTGAAGTTGAGTAAACTCCCTTTTCTCCCTATGTTGCTCCATAAAGAAAAATAACTCATCTTTGCAGAGCACTCGGCTTTGAAGAGGCTTAAAAGTTCTGCATAGATGGAACAGGTTGAATACTAACAGAAAATGGGGAAATTTGATAATTTTGAAATGTCTATATTTTCAAGATGATAAATCTGATCATCCTCTTAAGACAAACTTATATTTGAAATCTTAAAAAAAGAAATGAAATGGATAGGATGGCATTTCATTGTCTCTGATTTTCCCTTGAGCATTTCCACTTAGTTTTCCTTATGGGACAGAAGGGAAAGAGTCATTCATCAAATGGAATCTTAGCCTTGGAATATTCAACAAGTGGTTCACCATATTGATTTTATAATTCTCCTGTGAGTCATATAATAGGCATGCTTGGTCATCTCCATTTTATTGATGGGATACTAAGAGGAGACAGATATTGACATGGTAAATGTCACACAGAATTAATGGTTCCAACCCTCAGGAGAACAAAAAATGAAAATCTCACCCCTCCCCCATTATATTTCTTTTCTTTTTAGAAAGCTTACTAGGAAAAGTCACTATGACATATAGACACCTGGGATGTATTGAAGAAAAATCCACATATAATAACTGTAGGCTACTTTATTTTGAATATCAGCACTTTGGGATTATTTTGACTTCCACATTATAGTTTGTGGTAAGAATTAAAGGATAACTTCTGTTGCCACCCAAATCTTCAAAATACAGTTTTTCAAAATATTCATGTGGCAAAAAAGTTAATATTTTTTCAGTCTTTCTTTTTTCATATTTATTTTCTTTATTTTTGGTTCCTTCTTTATAACATGTGGCCAGTAATATGATGCAGAATGTAAGAAATAGAAAAATAATTCTCTGCTTCCACAGAGTCAGGTGTGATTTAGAAAACTAAGATGTAAACACATTAAAAAGTTAACAATACAAATTATTGTGTGACTATGTGTCAAACCTCTGAGATTCTAAGTGCTATGAGAGTTTTGAAGTTGATAAAGATTGCTTCCTCTGAGGAAGTTAAGTTGCCCTTGGCATAATGAATCAGTTCTTTGTCTCTTTGAGGATAAGAGTATTAGAGTCATCCTGGACAATGAAGCTTGCTATTCAGATGAGATCAAGTCAGGTGTATTTGCTTAACAGGAAAGTCAAGTCTTACTTAGCATCATGAAGGCAGAATTCTACTTTTGCAGAAGAGTGTATGTTCAGATTAAGACTCGTGAACTTTATCCATATGTGGAGAAAAATCTACTTCAGCTTCTCCCCACTACTTCCCTCCCTGTCTCTTCTAGTTCTCACTTAAGCCCTATCTTGTCACAAAACTCATCCTTGACATAAAAAATAGTTCTCTCCATCATCTGCCTTCTGCCAGTACAACAGCCTTTGCTGTTAGATGCCTTTGCCGGATGAGCATGCTTCTCAGCTGGTAAGATGCTGTGCTGTTTGCATATACTGCTCTTTCCTCTTTCTATGGACTTTTTGTTCCCACTGGCAAATGTTCAAGTCCAAACTCTGCTACAATTTTCTGTTTCCCTAGTGCAGTAATTTCTCAAGAGTAGTTTCCTGAAGAGTATTTCACTTTGAGTTTTCAGCACACATAGCAGGTTTTCAAGGAATGGTTGATGTCTGATAATGTTAGCTATAAAAAGGCCTTGTCAGCTCTTTCGGGGTTATGCCGATTCCCCAATCCACTCCTTGCACCAGAATGCAGAGCTTCTTTAAAGGCATTTATCTTTATTTACCTTAAAATCAAGATGTCAACTATATAAAAAAATCACTGAAAATTCAACTTAGGATTAATATACTGATAGTTTGTTTTCCTAGTCACATATTTCTCAGATATTTAGATGTATTTCTCAGGAGAAATTTACCCTCTAAAGTATCTATATAATTGCATTGAAACAAATCAAGCCATGCCACATCCAGAAACACGTGTCAAAAATAATTCTTTTTTCATTTATTTCTGTCTCTCTCTAAAGAAACTCCTGCCTATAGTCACCAAAAAGTCATTTTGACATATATAACATTTCAGGAGAAACTTACTTGTTTGGCATAATTAAATGAAAATAATTCTGAGCTTAAAATAGAAAATTCTAAATATTAGTCTT